ACCCTCTTGAAAACCCTGCTGATCCTACAGGACCTCCTCCAAACCTTGCTTTCCTGGAGATATTAACTGAATTCACAAATAAGCTCCTGAAACAGGACAAGAGAGTTGTGTAAGTATGATTACTAAAACTTCATGCAAATGTATCCTTATCCCATTGGATCCAGGTGACATGACCTCATGTCATGAAAAAAAATTGGTTAAGGGCCAGGGTAATGGGAATGTCTCCTCATGTGTGAACAAAGATCTTGGAGGATGATTAGACTCAGTGGACATTTAGCAAGGGGCTCTTGCATTATTTCCACCAATAAATGAGCATGGAATGTATCATCTATGAGCTGTGGCTGGTAAAGTGCTGGCTCTAGGTAGGGCAATATTTCCAGACTCAACATCCTATTCCTATCAATACCTATCAATATTGTTACAGCACAGAGTTGTAGACCACCTAGAGACATAATCTGAAGACTGCTCAAAGAATACCACTTCCATCTTGATACAGCATTACAAATAATAAATAGAGACCTTGAAAAAACATAACTGTATGCATGCATAATATAAAGTATTGCACCAAATTTAAAATAAATTTATACTGCAGGCTCGCATACCTTGATCGTCGCATAGCCGCTGGTATGCCAAGCTCAAGAGGGGAGGACTGGCAACCATTACTTATGTATCGTAATTCACTGGTGCATGGAGAGGGTGATCAGCCTCCTCAGACATCTAAACGTGCCTACACCCGCAAGCGCAAACATGGTAAGGGATTGCTTCAATTGCTTTCTTAGGTCTAAACTTCATCAATATTTTCTATATTTGATTTGGTTGTTACTGATTTTGTTGTAATGTTGTTGAGCTGAATTTTGATGTTTTTGTGTTTTTTTAACAGTTGATGACGATGACGATGACGATGAGGATGATGACGCTGGATTCCAGTGAGTATATAAGTTTTTTTTTTATGAAATATCCTTTGCACTTGATGTTTATTGGATAGTGGCTTGAATCCATATGTAATTAGTCACCTGAATTTATTTAGATAAACAAGACACTTTCATGCACTATTACTAACAAGTTTCAGTAAAAGTAGACTTTGGAAATTAGTAGTATTACTTGTTATACATTAGTTTATTTCCATGTAGAGATATTAACAAAAGGAGTTATGAACCAGAGGGATAAGGAAAACGGTACAGTCAGGTAGAAACAGAATAAGTAATAAATCAGTTTAAGTTAAGGAACTTCCAAGATTTCTTAATTTCTCCAATGGTACATCCCCTCCCACCCCATCCCTTCCTACAAAAGGCCACCCATCGAGGAACCTCGCGAGACGGGACGCCCCAAGAGACGAAGAAGGCTGGAACAGACACACCCAGATATTATTGGCCGTACCATCCGTCACAAATGGTACATCGATGGAGAAGGGGTGTACTGTACTGGTACAGTTCTGGGTATTTCTGCCCCAGGGACAATACCCGAAGAGTCAGATGATGGCCAGTTCATAAATGGCACATGTTATGATATTCAATATGATGATGAGGACTTTGTGAGGCACTTAATTCTTGAGGGAGATTGGCAGAGAGGAGACATTGCTGTTTTGGGCCGTGCAGATAATGTGCCATAAACCATTTTCAGTCTATGTTTTATTGCTTATTTTAATATTCTGGATTAGCTGTACAAGTTTCCTGAAAAAGATCTTCCTTTGCCTGTCATTTGATTTGTGTCTTTCTATTCAGAAGTTAATTTTCCAGAATATGATAATTTGCAAGTGTGAATGTGTGTGTGTGTGTGTGTGTGTGTGTGTGTGTGTGTGTGTGTGTCTGTGTATGGTTTGTTTGTAATTTTATCATTAATTCACCAAGTAGAAGTCATGTTTTGGGACCTGTATAAGTGACTCTTTTAAGATATTTAGAAATATATGTAGTCTATTTTTACAGAGCTATTCAGAAAGGGTTATTTGATCTCGAAAAGAGTTTGTATTTTGTACTAGATTTCTGACTAAGAAGGAAGGGTCCTGATGTTTAGAATCCAGAGAAAATCATATTAAATTTTAGTTTTATTTATACTTTGTTCAGTATTTGTAAGTAATGTATTGCTGAATTTTTAAAAAAAATTTAAGCAATGGACAAATTTTATTATTAATAAATTTTTCTAAGGAAATTGGTCTTTTAAAACCTATAATACATTAAGGTCAGCATTTCTTTGTTGCATTAAGAAGTCTTTAAAGCTTTAGAACTGAATTAGGTATTTACAAGAAATATATTACTTTTACATATATATAGGGTTTTCCTCATGTATTGCTATTTCGTTTTTATATAAATATAAATTTAAAAAGTTCAAGTCCTAAAGGTTCTTTTATCCTTAGCATTATTATTATATGATTTTACATGAGAACTTTTGTTACTTAACACTATATGTACCTTTCATTATACTTGTATTGATATCACTGTTTAGATTGATAATTGCAGTAGACTCATTTTGATGCAAACTAACAGTTATATTCTTAAAACCAAATGTAGGCCTTCTTTACAAGTACTTGGCAACATCACATTTAATTCTTGACTAACCACACCATCATCACGATATAAACCACCATATGTAACCATAAATGTTTTTTAATGTCATCCTTGGATAGTAAGGGTTGTTGCAGATATTCTAAATTCTGAAGTGAGGATTCCTTTCAATTTGGCCTTGGCAAGTGGTACATTTTAGAATAGGAATTAATTAAGGATAATGCTATGCTTTGTAGCACAAGCTGCCTAACCCAACACAGCCAGGGATGGTACGTGTGTACATTCCATGCCCACAGTGCATTTAGTTTATTAATTGTCTTAATGCATATATAGCTCCAAAAGTTTTAAAGTCACCAGTGAGCCAGTTACTATTGCTACCCATTGCAGAAGTTTACCTTTATCCTTGACCTTTGAAAATATTTTCCTGCATCTTATATTGCTGTCAGTAATAGTGATAATGTCTATAATGATAATAACATCAATATTGATTGCATAAGAAAAAAAAATCCTGAAAACAGTGAACACTATATTTTGTCAGTGATGTGCGGTTAAGATACTCTAAGGAGGCAGAATAACATATAGTTACCAGATTCGTAAAACATTCTGGTGGGTAAGGTTGGGAATTGTCAACCACAGCTTTTAATTTGAGAGGAGCACCTGTTCTTAGTTTAGTGAGCTCTCACAGTAGAGTATTAGAGCTTCTTGATAATACCAAGTTATGGCTTAGTTGTCAGATAATACAGTTATTCAGCACCTGATAAACACTGTTTGTGTGTAGCAATAACAACCATTTTTAGTCTGAAGAAATGCATGGATCGATTGGCAAAATAAGGATTAATTACATATAAAGGGGAATATAAAACAATGAAAAGAACAGTTACAGAAGTGATACTGCAATACACAAGAACTAGTAATTGTAACACTTTTAATAATCATATAAGAATATTACTGGAAGCTTTGCTAGACAAAGACAGAGAAATTGATATGAATAACAAGATATATAATGAACAGTGTGAAGAAAGAAAAATACAGAAAGAGAAGAGACTGGTGTATTATGACTAAGAAAATGGATTTGTTGTATTGATCCCCCCCTCTCTCTCTCTTATTCTCTCTCTCTCTCT